TTAATTATTCATAAAAGTAAATCAGAAGAGAATTTATAGTAAATAAGCAGGCAAATTTGCCTGCGAAACCCTACAATATAAGGGATAATGATAATTATATAACACAAAAATATCAACTCATACTTGCAGAAAATTTAGTCCTTATAGTTTTCACAATCTATTATGAAACAATTTTTTTCTAAAGATTCCAAACAATTTCTTGTCTTAGGTCCATTGATGCAGATAAAAAAATCCAATGCTTAATGGGCCTTTCACTTTTAAATGATTTTTCCATAAATTCAAATTCATTTTTAACTTTCTTGTACTCTCTTTTAACTATCGCCTTAGATAAGGTTTGAGGCTGTCCAGCTGTGGTATTTGAAGATTTAACCTAAATGACAATAAGGTAATCATCTAGAAAAAGAAAGATATCCTATGGGGCTCTATCACCATTCTTAAATACTGTGCCAAGCAATAAGTGCTTATTTTGCATTATGTCAGGATATCGATGTGCAAGTTCTAAGTAATATTTTTCTACTGTAGGGAGCTGAAATTTATGATCTAAAAGAGGGATTCCTTGATAAATATAATACACACCTCTAAAAAGATTTCGTAATATTACTGTTTCATCTAACTCTTTAAGAAGTTAAAAACGTAGGACCCAAAATCGCATATTAAATTCTTCAAAACTCTGTCACAAGATATGAGATTTTTGATCAATCATAACATCCCAAAATTGACCTGCTTTGAATTCCTTGATTGAGGTTGTTATCCACATCCAAATATATGGCATACAGACATAAGGCATCTTAGGATTATACCGTGTTACTTCCAAATTTATAATGCCTTTGACGAGAGATCAATATAAGAGAATTTATCATTACCAATTTCAAATTTATCAGTCTCATCAACAGGAATGTTAAGGATGGCATATGCAACCACTAGTTTCATAATGGTTGCAAAGTCATCAAATAGATATTTTTTCATAAGGTGGTAATTAACAAGCTGAAAAATAAACTTATAATCAATAACATGTGTATTCATCTTAATTACACATAATAATTCATTATAGAAAATTTCTAAAGCTCAGACTTGTTCACTAATATCACTAATAAAGCGTTGAAAGGTTTTGTTGTGATTGATACAGCCTGCCAGTTCTTGATCTTCTTTCATATATGAGGTAATTTTCTCTACTTTATCATCTGAAAGAAGATGGAGCGGTAGATGTAAAAGATCATATATCGATTCCTGAATAAATTTCTCAAGAGGATCTTGAATGGTTCTGGCCAAGATTGGTACATAGAGCAAATTTTTTTTCGAATTAGTAATTAGGCCTCCGATAGCATGTACAATATCACGAACTGGTCTTTAATTATCCTTTGCTAGATTGTGCAAGAAATTTAGCTCATCGATTCCAATGACAAAAAAATCTATATTGCCACCAATATCCTTAAGAACAACATCACACGCAGTTGCAATTTTGAAAGTTTTCCAATTTTTACCACACATTCTCAT